AATGATTAAGCTATAGCAGGGTAAACAGTCATTAATACTGATCAAAAAATTATTTGTGTATACATATATGTATATAAAATATATATAATATTATATACACACATATATCCAGATACATGTGTATAAAATGCTTTTCTCTCTTCTAGGTACACCATGAGACTGTATTTTCCTTTCCTTCTGGGCTGTAGAACAAGGTGACAAGTGACTTGTTTGGGCCACTGTAGTATAAATGAAAGGGAAGTGTTTCATTTCTAGGCATAATCATTAAGAGTCCATGTATGCTGGATCCCTTTACTATGCAATGACAATATTTTGTTGTTTAGTCTTCCACAGTTGTTTACTGCAGTAGCATAGTTTAGCCTCTTCTGATCAATCTACAATGATTTCTCTAACTTCACACATGATTTGTGACAGGATTTTGCCCATATTATCATTTTCTTTTTTCTTGTTTTTTTCTTAGCACATAATACTTGTAGAGGGGATACATTGTGATAATTACATATGTGCTTACAATATACCATAATTAGATTTATTCCTTCCATCATTCTCCCTCCTTCCCTACTCCCCTTCTTAAAACTATTTCAACAGGTTTCATTCTTGTATTTTCATATATGGATACAAAATACATCCACTATATTCAGCCTCATTCACTCTTTCCTTATATTTTTCCCACCCCTAGAAAAGACCTGTTTTACCCTTTTGTCCTCATTTTTTTGTGTCTTTATGTAATCTTAAAATTAAAACTTATACAAACCTTTAAAGAAGAACTAATACCAATACTCTTCAAACTTTTCCAGGAAACAGAAAAGGAAACAACACTACCATGGAGCAAGTGGTATACTCATTCCAAAACCCAATAAAGATGTAACCAAAAAAGAGAGTTATAGACCAATATCTTTAAAAATACAGACACAAAGTTTCTCAACAAAATACCAGCAAAGAGAATTCAACAACACATCAAAAAAATCATACCCCATGACCAAGTCAGTTTTATTCCAGGGATATATGGATGGTTCAACATATGTAAATCTATAAACACAATACAGCATATAAACAGAAGCAAGGAGAAAAACCACATGATCTTCTCAATAGATGCAGAAAAAGCTTTTGACAAAATTCAACAGTCTTTCATGATAAAGGCTCTGAAGAAACTAGGAATAGAAGGTATGATCCTCAACACAATAAAAGCTACATACAACAAACCTATAGCCAACATTACAATAAATGGAGAACAACTGAAACCATTTCTGCTAATGTCAGGAATGAGACAGAGATGCTCATTTTCCCCACTCCTATTCAATATAGTTTTGGAATTCCTAGCCAGAGCAATAATAAAAGAACTAGAAATAAAAGGGATTCAAATAGGGAAGGAAGAAGTCAAACTATCCCTATTTGTAGATGACATGATCCTATATCTAAAAAAATTTAAAAATGTTACCAAAAAAACCTATTAGAAATCATAAGCTCATTTGGCAAAGCAGCAGGATACAAAATTAACATACAGAAATCAGTAGCCTTCTGATAAACCAACAACAAACAGACTAAGAAAGAAATCAGGGAAACAATCCCATTTACAATAGCCTCAAAAACAATAAAGTACCTTGGAATAAATTTAACAAAGGAAACAAAAGACCTTTTTAATGAAAACTATAAACCACTGAAGAGAGAAATTGAAGAAGACAACAGAAGATGGAAAGATCTCCCAAGCTCATGGATTAGGAAAATCAACATTGTGAGAATGGCCATATTACCAAAAGCAATCTACATGTTCAATGCAGTCCCTATCAAAATTCCATGACATTCTGCACAGAAATAGAAAAATCAATCCTTAAATACATATGGAAACACAAAAGACCTTAAGCAGCCAAAACAGTTCTGAGCAAAAAGTTCAATGCTGCAGGCATCACAATATTTGGCTACAAACTATACTATAGAACTATTACAATAAAAACAGCATGGTATTGGCACAAAAACAGACAGGAAGAACAATGGATCAGAATAGAAGATCCAGACCTAAACCCACACATCTACAGTCAACTGATCTTGGGCAAAGGAACCCAAAACACATGATGGAGAAATGACAGCTTCTTCAACAAATGATGCTGGGAAAACTGGATATTCACATGTAGAAGACTGAAATTAGATCCCTGTCTTTCATCCTGTACCAAAATCAATTTGAAGTGGGTCAAAGACCTTAATAAAAGGCCTGGAACTTTGAAACAATTCCAGGAAGTAGTAGGAAATACATTGGAACAGATAGGTATAGGAAATGACTTCCTAAGTAGAATTCAAAAGGTTCAGCATCTAAGAGAAGAATGAACAAAAGAGTCTGTATCAAACTAAAGAGCTTCTACACAGCAAAAGAAACAATAACTAGATTCAAGAGACAGCCCACTGAATGGGAGAAAATCTTTGCCAGCTACTCATCCAGTAAGGGACTTACCCAGAATCTACAGGGAACTCAAATGACTCAACCACCAAAGAATTAACATTCCAATGAAGAAATGGGCACATGAATTAAATGGATTCTTAAAGGAACTGGTACAAATGACCAGTAAATATAAGAAGAAGTGTTCAACTTCCCTGGTTGTAAAAGAAATGTAAATCAAGACAACACTTAGATTTTATCTCACCCTGGTTAGAATGGCCATATTCAAGGACAATAACAACAATAAATGCTGGCGAGGATACAGTGAAATAGGAACCCTTATACACTGTTGGTGGAAATGCAAATTAGTACAACCACTATGGAAAGTGGTATGAAGATTCCTCAAAAAGCTAAAGATAGAATTGCTATATGATCCAGTGATATCACTCCTGGGCATCTACCCAAACAAATATAAGTCAGGATACAATAGAGACACTGTACATTGATGTTCATTGCAGCACTATTCATAATAGCTAAGCTTTGGAAACTACCCAGGTGTCCTATTACTGATTAATGGATTAAGAAAATGTGGTATATACACATAATGGAGTTTTACTCAGCCATAAGGAATAATGACGTGTTGTTTGAAGGTCAATGGATGCAATTGGAGGACATCATGTTAAGTAAAGTAAGCCAGGCTCAGAAAGCCAAAGGCCACATGTTTTCTCTCATATATAAAAGATCCAAAAGATAAACATATACACAAAAACAACATAACCATATATAAACTCATATGTAGAATATGTCTTTAATAGTAGAACTACTCTATGGAACTTGGGAAAAGAGGGAAAGGAAAAAGAGAGTGATAGAGCACCAGTAATGTCATAAAACATAACATCTGTGAAGGCAGAGGATATCAGGATGTGTATTGAAAGCTGCTGAAAATGGGGGGTGGGAGATAAAGGGGTAAGGGAGAGTAATGGAAGGGGATGAAGTGACCAAAGTAAAGTATACCCATGGTGGGGATATATTGAGAAAACCCTTCATATATCAAATAAAATATTAATAATGAAAAACAGGACTATAAAATAGGTACAATGTATAGGGGTACTTGTGGGAGGGGGAGGGTGAATGAAGGAGGTTAAGGTGAGGGTATATGGTTGATGGACTTCATATACCTATATGAAACAGAACAAAGAATCTTTTTGTAATTGCTTTAAGTAGGCAGGGAGGGGTGTTGAGGGGGAGAGACGATGGGAGCAATTTAACTAATGTATAATATAAGCCTAATAGGAAATTCACTATGAATCTCCCCATATAATGAATGTATCCTAATAAAAATTATGAAAAAAATTAAAACTTATAAAATGTAGCCTTATTCTAAGCAATTCACATGATACATAACAGTTATATTTTAATTAGGTAAAAGTAAATATATAACTATTAAACATAATCTCACATATAACATTATAGGAAAAACTGAAGTAAAAGTAGGAAATGAACTTTATGTTTAAGGCTGCAAATTAAGAAATTATGTTCTCAATTTCTGAGTGGCTCAAAATTTGAATGTCATGTTAATATTCAGTGAACTATACTGCTTTCTTGATATGCTAGGAATAAAAAAGGGATGTATATTACAATTTAATGTGTATGTGAATATACCACATCAGGTTAGTTTACAAAAATCATTAAAAAGGACAACATCATCATTGCAATGTTCTAATTTGTATATGCAAATTCAAAGGTGTACAGGTGTAAAAGGGTAGACACACACATTTTTATAGGCTTCCTTATTGCATCCTTGAGTACTTGACCTTTAACATCAATTAAAATCATTATATATACAGCTGGTAAAACCTGTCTTATGGGTGACAAACATAGACTCCTGCATAATTACTATTTTTCAACAGATTGAATACATTACAGAAGAAGGGGATATTTTATGGAGATGACAGCCAAGACAAGGTCTTTGAGATATGTGACCTTTGTTACAATCTGATGTCAAACTCCAAGTAACCCATACAAATTTACATTATATAAATAAAATCATTCTAAATGCAATTCATCTATAAGAGGAAATATGCAGATACTAGGAAAACATACTGTCTCAAAGAGATGTAATTGAAATAATGAATAATCAAGCAGAATAATCATCTAGGTGCAGAGTGAGTTTTAGAATTAGAGATATTGACAACCTCAGAACCAGGAGAAAGTAAGAGGACACCTAATGACCATTGCCAAATATTTGAGGAGGTTTCATAGTAAAGAATTGTTCTTGTTTGAGTATGCTAAAGGAAGTAGGATGGGGAAGAGGAAAGAAATATACAATGATATTTTAGACTAAAATTAAGGAGGATATTTCAAGCTCCTCACTTGTAGGCAGCTCTAGCTGTCTTCACAGGGATCATATTCACTCTCATTTTTTCTGTCTCTGTCTTTGTCTCTCTCCCCTCTCTCTCTCTCTCTCTGGCTTTGTAGAATTCCAATATCAAGAAAGAGCATGAAGACCAGTAATTTACCTGTTCCCTTACAGACTAAAATTCATTCAGGCATATCTGATGGTAAACCATCCATCTTAATAACAAACCAACAAATAGGTTAACAAAATATTAGAAATATCTCCAGACAGTACCTTTCATTTTCTCTTAATATTTCCCTTCCTTTTCTCCACATGTAGACAGGTTTTGGAGACGCTTTGGGTTTACACTCAATGACAACTTCACCTCCTACTTTGACAAGAGTTACCCTTTTCAAGAGTGTTCTTGAAAAATCTGGACTTTCAGCTGGAAGACATAGAAAATAAAATGAGTTATTATGAAGGAAAACACTCCCACAAATCATTTTTGGTATTTTATTTTGGTAATGCACTTATTATTATCTTGATCATCAAAGTCAGGAAGTTAAATATTTTTCAAGTGTAGCACTGTAAGTTTTGATGATTAAAATTTAATCTATAACTTAGATATGATAAAATGTACCAGTCATGTGAGTATAGTTTGTTGAACTTGGTATATTCCACCATGAAGATCAAGATATAGAAAACTCTCATCACCCAACTGAGGATTCTCTTTTAAAAATTTTATTCCATGTTCAAGTGAACAAAAACTTAAGAAAAACAAAAGGGAAAGTAACAAAATAAGAAAACCCATAAGGCATTTTATTATTTTATTTCTGATTGTGTAGGCTAAAGCAGCCTTCCTCTGATATCATCACCATATTGTCATTGTCCCATAGTATCCTGTGTATATCAGCAAATGTGCTAAAATGTCTATACCATACCCTCTGTGCTAAAATGTCTATATCACATCCTTAACAACGGCTATTCAGCCTTCTGCTACTGGTGCCTAATGCAATGTTTGTCCTTTTTTGGAGAAATTGTGACTTGCTCTTGGAGCTCAGATATTTAGAAACTTATATTACACACTCATCATTGTCACACTAACAGAACCCATTCGTGTTGATATCACTTCTATAATATGGTTACATGTTGACAATATTAAACAATTATTACTTTCCTAAAATAAAAGATATTTATCTGTATCCCCACCATAAAAAGATGCTTTTCTGAAAGATCTCTATTTTCTTCTGAGTTAGTTGAATTAATGTGTGAAGAGGGGTTTTGGAATGAATGGATGGATGCATCTCTTGGGTATCTTATTTTTGTCTCATTTGAAAGCTCCTATTTCTACATTGTTTTGAAGTTTGACCTCAGGGAATTAAAAATTTTAGACAGCGTTGAGTATAAAATTTAATTTCATACCACAAATTACTTAAAGGAAGACTAGTAATGAGTATATGTGTGAGTACGAGGGGAATGTAAGACAATTTCTTAAATGAACCCAATCTATAAACTAGAGATTTAAAAAACTAAATAGAAGCTTCAGTGGAAGAAAGTTAAATCATTATTAAGTGCTTTTATGGTAAAAATATTTTCAGTAATTGTCTAGAAGCAAAGATGAAGTTAATAGGTTTTTTTTTTTTGGTGGTTTTTGGAATTGGACTCAGGGTCTTGTGTTTACCATTTGAAAAATGCCCCCAAGTCCTTTTACTTTTGTTTTTCAGATAGGAGCTTATACTTTTGCCTGGGCTGGCCTCAGACTGTGGTACTCCTACTTCTGCCTCCACAGGAGATAGGATTATAGGCATGAATTACTATACCTGGCCTAGGAAAATTACTTCTTAATGGGGAGATGTGATGTATACATGAGGCTGGTATTATTATGAGAAGGTGAAATAAAATAAATAAATCTGGTAGACAACTGATATCTCATGCTGTGTACTTTGGATCATGAGAGGAGTTCACAATTCCAAGAGTAATTCTACAATGACAAGTCCAATTAATATAAAGAGTGCAAGGACAGGTGTTTTTGCTACAAAGAAATAATGTGTTTCCAGTATGGCCTATAAAACTGAAAAATAAAAATCATAAGGTTTGTGGGTAGGGCAGATCTACTCAATATTTAGTGCAGTATGAACACTAACGAATACAGTAAGCATCCTGGTAAATCTTAAGCATGATTAAAAAGAGAAGTAACACTTATAATAGAAAATACTACAAAAATATTGTGTGTGTATGTAGATGTGTGTGTGTGTGTGTGTATGTATAAGTTAAATTGATGGAAGAAAGAGTTGAGGCTGCCAAGCTATGAAGTAAGTTAAAATTGCAGAAAAATTGATAACTAAGTTTGTGTTCAGATTGTGCCAAGCAGAAGGCCATGGAGTGAATGGAAATCATGAAGTATTACTTTTTTCCTTGGCTAACTTCTTTCCTTAGTTTACTTCTATGTTTAGTTGCTTCTACTTTGTAAAATACATGAATAAATTCAGCATTTATGTCATAGTGACAGCATTCCCCCCAATTTACCAATCTCACATAAGCTAATTTGTGACACAGAAAGGTGTTTTAGTAGAACAGACTCTTTCTTGTTTTAGGTAAACATCCAAATTGACACAAACAGAAAAAATCACCTCCTCTAGAACATTTTTAAAGGTAGTTTTTGAAATGTTACAAGCCTTTCTCATATAAAATCTCTTCTTACAACTCTATCTTTCTACACACATTTTTTTATCACTCTAGGCAGATATTTTTCATCTGTTCAGGAGGAATTCTGCTGTTGCATTTGAAATGAGTTTATATAAATCAAACTGCACACAACACATGGGTATATTTGTCAAAGAAAACCCTATATATTGCTTTTACAGGATTTGAAATAGTATGATATCAGATACACAGAAAACAGAAAACACATCTAGTTTCAAAGGTACTTATAATATGCTATTTATGTACACATTACCTTTGTAGATATCTTAGAGCTAAGATTGACTTGACTATTCTTCACTCATAAAAATGGAATTATGAATCAAATCTTTTTCCTTTGTTTACTCAATTTGTGTTCTAGCCCTGCAAACATTTCATCAGCTGCTGTGAATTCTGGAGCAGAATTGTCAGAGCTCCATCAGTTTTTAAATACTTGACCCATTAACATTCTGTCATTTTGTAACCACTTTGCACACCTGAGATGCTCTTCATCTTGAATGGTGATGCTTTTTCCTAATTTTACCCTACATTTATTTTGATCCTCAAAGACTGGTCCAGGAAAGGCTTGAAGAAAATGTGAAATGGGCCTGCTCAGTTTGATATTTTAGAGGATGCAGTTTTAAGTTGGGTTGATAAGGTCCCAAGTTGGGTGGTATTAGAACCCAGTCTTCGCTCACACTTGAAAAAATAGTGAACTTGGAAGATAAAACTTCAATATCTCCTTAAAAACTCAGAAAAGACAAACAAGTAGTCAAATTGGCCACATAAATCTGAGGGCAGCTGAGATCCTGAGCCATATTCATTTGCTAAGTCTAATATGCTTAAAGACACTACTTCTCATGAAAGCTACTGGCAGACCTGCTCCCTCGGTGCTGGAAGGAATCATGACATGAGACTTATTCTACATGGAAATGCAACTTTTTACTACTTGCCAACAATCTTTATTACACTAGCTGTACATTATCCACGAGAACCATACAGCTGGGAAAAACTTTCTATGCAATTCACGGCTATTTCTGAGTTTATCAATTAAATGACTCTTGGTCACATGTTCAGGGTATCTTATGGCCAACAGAACCCTTGAAAAAAGAAGTTCTATCTGTGCCCAAGTTAGTGTCATTTCTCAAGAAAGGCAGTAAAATGATAACTATTCAACTGTATATGCAGAGGCAGTTCCACTTGGGAAATACATGGTATGATGTTTTACTATATTGTTGAAGAGGAAAGAATAATTATGCATGCCTGTTCTATCACAGTTGGTCTGTAGAAACATCACTGGGAACATTGCCAGTTGATGGAGATTATTAAGGCTGGCGCTTTTGGAAGTTCAGAATTTCATATTATTTTAACCATTACCTCATCATTCCATAAAAGAAGCCTAGAGTAAATGCATTAATGCAAATCTTTCCAGCACTGAAGAGATAATGCTTCTATCAGATCATAAAACCCCAAACTTCTTGCTTGCCTGGTAGCTGTCTACAAGGCAGGCTACAGAGAAAATGTCTTCTTTCTATGACCATTATTTCAAAATGGCTGATCCAAAATCTGGGTTCTCTGGTTGGCAATGATAAGCACAAGGAGATGGTCAACAAAACTCTTAAGGAAGGGATTTTTTTCCCTTCTAATGACTGCAAGAGGCATCCCTTGTAATGTTCCTAATGTCTGTACTCTACTTGTTTTGATTGAATTCTCTGAATGTCCTTTTTCCTGAGCCTAACCCTCTAAGAAGGCTTGTTCTACCATAGCATCACTTGCATTTATGGGTCTCCCTAATCACTTGTTATAAATGAATGAACATAATATTTACAGTTACAAGGTTGTCTTGGGGATTCAATGAAAAAATACATGTGTTGTACATAAAGTACTTACTACAATATTTGGCTCAGACTAAGTACTTTATACCTTCCCTTCCCCACTGCTGTTCCTATTACTGCACTACTGCCATCACTAATATTAAGGGAAATATATGCTGAAAAACTTCTTAGAGTCAAAAAAAATACATCTTTGTTTGAAAGGAAGAAAGCTTTTGTTTCTTAAGAAATTATAGAATCACAGAGAATAATTGAAGAATTGCACATCCTTCATCTGGTTTCTTCCAATGATTGCATCTTACATATAATATGGTAGCAAAATAAGTAAATCGACCATTGACATAAAGTGTATGTCATTTAATCATATGTATGAACTTGAATAAGCACCACTGAGATCATGATACAGAACTTGCCACAAAGATCCTTCTCTGCTTATCAGTCACACCCTGCCTTCTCATGCTACCTTCCCTAATTCCTGGAAACCATAAATATTCATTGCTGTAGTTTTGTCACTTTGTGTGTGTACATATACATGCACATATGCATATATATATAAATATACATAGAACCATACAGTATATAATCTTTGGGGATTTTTTTTTGGCAGCATTGGGGTTTGAATTCAGGGCCTCACACTTGCTAAGCAAGTGCTCTTTCCACTTGAGTCATTCCACCAGCCCAGGATTTTCCATTGAGCAAAGTGCTCTTGAGATACATCTAAGTTGTTTCTATCAACAGCTTCTTTTGTATTGCTGAGTATTACATTCTAGTGTGGATAGGAAACACCTCTTAATGCTGGCATTGCAGCTCCATGATAACTGCCAAATACTTTTAAGCACAGGCACCATTTCAAGATCTCTCAGTGCTTTCTCTGCCAACAAGTAGGATCAAGCATTGCCTTTTTCCTTTTTATGAAAGGTTTGCAAAGCCAAAA